TGACTGAGTGACTGAGTGACTGAGTGACTGAGTGACTGAGTGACTGAGTGACTGAGTGAGTGAGTGAGTGAGTGAGTTTTTCGACTCACAGCAGTAGTTGTGGTCAATAGCACAACCTCCACACACACACACACATGTGTCCGCTTCAAACTTTCACCAGTCTTGACCCAGACCCCCCCATCCTCCATCGCCTTCCGCCTTCCCGCAGCGCCTCCATCTCCGGTCCTCATCGGATCGCTCAGCTCCGGCTCCGGCTCAGCCGTTTTCACCTCTTCAGGTACGTGCACTTGGGATGCCTCCGTCATTGGATCCGGGGCCGCCTCAACCTCGCGGATCGTCCCTTGGGCTCCTACTTCTATAGGCGCGCTTCGGCACCCGAACTCAAGCGGGGACAACGGGCCGAACTCCACCGGGGAAGAGCCACGAAGACGGGTGGCTTTGGGTCGATTGGAAGGTGGTCATGCAGATGACCTCAAACACTTGGAACAAGAAAGACAACCACGATGACGTCTTTTTTTCCTGCTTGGAGGTGCGAAAGAAACAAATGACATGGCCGTTGATATGAGAGGATCCGAGTACATAGGTATAATACGGTATACTGTATAACATGTTGATCTCATTTTAGCGGCGGGGGCCTACGAGACACGTGGGGCCGGCTCGATTTCAGCTCCACATCTATGCTTCGGTATGCCTGCTGGGTCGAAGCCTTCTTGGTCTTCGTTTGGAGGAAGTCGGTGATCGATCTGGGACCATCCCAGGTCTGGGCGATTCCTGCGGATCCGGTAGGTGATTTGAGGTCGGTTCCCTTCACTCGGTCAATCCCCGGACCATAGTCCCCATTGGGTCGATCCGTTGGGGGCCGATCCTCCAGTTCAGTCAGGTGTGGATGATGGCTACGGCATGCTACGGCTATGGTGATCTAGAATGGATCTTGGAGTTCGATGGCATTCATGGTTAGAGCCCGACATCCCGAGTCCACCATCCATTGACGGTTTGAGGGATTTTAGACTACAAAGCAGGGTCTTCTCGTTCCAGTCTTTCGTCCTTTGGGAACAATGCACTGGCTCCTTTAACGCTGCTGAACAAAGGCTGACCATCCATTCCTGTCGCGGTTCCGCCTCCGCAGCTGTTTGGGCTTCTTTTTGGGCGTCCAGGCCGCCCCGATCCCGAAAAAGATCCAGCGAAGCGGCACAAAAAACTAACTCAGCATGTGGCAGGCAGGGTTGAAGCAGATGGAGGACTCTCGGTTGGCCAGAAATTCGGGTGTGGCTCCAAATGGATTGGGCACCATCGGTGGATTTTGGGGTTTGGGCCGCGAGATTTCAAACATGTTGGCATGACTTGGGATGACTTTGGATGCTTGTTGTGGATGCTCCCCAGTGCATGTGGTTACGCAAGCTAGATACCCTTCAATGACCGACCCGTCTGCATGTAGGTTTACACACATTCACCCTCAGTTTTTCCAAGAGTTCGTGACCCACACAGCTCTTCAACTGTGCTGCAACATCCTGAATCATCTGGCTAGCATCGTCTGATCGGTTTAGGATCGCGGCTGATTTTGGTGTTCTTCTCACCTCCGATCCGCAAAGACCGGTGAGGGTGCTGATTGGTGGGTCTTCGTGGTTGGTATGGGTGTGCATTAGAATAGGGACACCTCTCAAAGACTCCCTGGAAGGAACGGAACAAAACGTGTCCCGTGACAGAACAAGAAGTCACACCCAGCTGTGGACCGCGATCGAGATCTCCAAGACGCAGGCGGAGCTGCAAAATCCACCCAAAAGTCTGGGTACTACCCGGAAAGCATTCCCAATTCCAATCGACCCATTGAGCTGATTTTTGGGTGAAGCGATGGAGCTTTGGTTGCAGTGAACGTTTTATCTACTCCAGAACAAGTCGATCCAACATGGATCAGCCAAAGTCGGTCACCCTTGTTGAGGTGAACCATGGTGAAACACGGCTCCAAAACCGCAGTTCTACGCACGTGCGGGTTGGAGAGTTCGGTCGTTCTACCCATGGGTGAAGCTTTTTCTGCTCCAAAACGAAACGGCTCCAGGGTCCGATTCTTCGGCGGATTCGGTACCGTTCACAGCGAACGATGGACCTGACCGTCTGTTTGCTGAAGTCTCCCGCGGTGGTCTCTGGGACGACCGAGGATAGGTTGCGCCTCCAGATGCTCACGGCCACTCGACCTTACGATCTTTGGACCTCCATGAGGTGTATGGCCACTCGACATCACTCGGCCATCAAACCGGCGAACCCGGACGACCGCGCGGACGCGCGCGCGCGCGCGGACGGACGGGCGTTGGTGGGCGTTGGTGGCCATTTCACACGAAGAACTGGAAACGACGCGGCGAGGAGGCATTTTCTTTGTTCCCGTGGGTGTCCAGTTCGCCCAATTGATCCAACTCCTCCAAATTTGATTTTGTGTGGAATGTGTACCTTTTTGGAGGTTTCCAGATAGGTGTACATGTATCATGGGCCACCGCATTTCATTGCTAAGATGTTGCATGATCCCCCTTCAGCAAGCACTGTCGACCAGATGCCAGCTTTCTTGAGTCAAATTTAGTGCACCAAAGTGTTCCTGTGGTTTTTGACCCTAAACCCTATAGGCCCTACACCCTGGTAGGTTGACCATGGACATGGTACGTTTGATGTCGTCTGTTCGGCTGCTTCCCGGCTGTCGGGCGTCCTCGCCATCTGACACAGATAAATGTCCATCCAGAGCATCCACGGAGCCCCCGAGTCTTGTTGTGCGGGGGCGGACACTTCCGGGAGTCCTTTGTGCGTTCGTCCCCCGCTATCTTTGGAAGTCCCGTCAGACGTCCGCCAAAACGGATCAACATGACATAAGTATACGTGATGGGACTTGGGCACTTGGGAGGCAACATGGAGGACAACTGGCCAAGCTGCCCCACACGGGGTCTGGTAGTTTGTGTCTGCTGCGCCTTGGCGAACCCAGAAAATCCCAGCAAACCATAGATCCCAGGTAGTTCACCATGGATCCCAGGAGCTTCATTTGGGTATGATGATCTATGATGCTCGTCTTTGGAACCACTGGTCACCCCACGCCTGGGACCTGCCTCTCCCCACCCCCCCAAGCGTCGCCACGTCACCCACCGTCCGAGGCCATCCTGAGCGCCTTCGGACTCGCTGCTGCAGCGCCTGGGCATCGAAGGGGGAACAAACATCGACGAGCGCCAGGAGAGGCATGGTGAGCCAGGACACCCTATGAGAATACAGACACCTTCTTACTGTTTTTTTTTTGGGGGGGTCCTGGCAGGTGTTTTTCTAGTATTTTTAAGCTGATACAAGCTGCTGCAAAACAAGTGGGACGCACCTTCTGAGCACCAATGGCACGTCTTCCCGTCGAAACGACGCCAGGAAGGCTGATACTGCACAGACCAAAGGGGCCGTTCAGTCGAAATCCAGATGATAGCTTTGTGAGCAAGAAGCTACTAGCAACAGGGGCATCACTACTAGTGGCAAGTGCATTGCTGCTAGTAACAAGGGCATCACTACTAGCAAGAAGAAGCTTGCACCGCTACTAGTAACAAGGGCATTACTACTAGTAACAAGAGAAGCTACTAGTTACAAGGGCATCGCTACTAGTAGCTTCTTGTTACTAGTAGTCACATACAACATTTTTTCCAAATCCGCGAGCAAACTTCGGGTTGCGACTTTGCTTTTGTCACAGGGTGTTGCACTTACTGTACCCACCATCCTGGGGCAAAAGGACTGGGTCATGAGGGGCAGCAAGTGTTGTGGTTTTGCTTTTGTCCGAGATGCGCTTCTTCATGTTTTTTTGATATGTTTATCATCGTTTCTGGCTGGGTAACTCAACAAAAAACAGCCATCCGCCGGTTTCGGGAAGAGCCAGTGCCAGCCACTGGCAAGGACACCATTCTGTATTTACATGTCTTTACCGCAAGAAGCACAGTTCCAACAAAAACTCTTGGCTGAGAAAAACACCACGACAGGTCTGCTACCCGTTGCTTTGGCTGGGGATGCTGGCGGTGTGCTTCACCAAGAACAGCCAGCTTTATGCGGCGCCCTTGGTGGTCTTGGCGGTCTTGGGCACCGTCTATGGCTGTGGGCTCTTGTCCATCTATGCGGCTTGGTCGATCCAATCATGGCGCAGCTAGCGCTGCTTGGGGGTGATTGAAACGGGGAGACCTGACACAGCTTGAAACTTGCTTAGGGGAAACACACGCAGCCCATGGACTGTGAGCCGTGGGGTGGGATGGAAAGGTATCGTGGCGTGGCGAAATCCAGCTTCCTTCGCTTCTTCAGAGTCTGAAACAGGGGGAAAGACGGTGGACCCTGTTGATATTGGACTTTTGGGTCGACCCATCCTGCTTTCCGGGTGGATATTTCAAGCCCTACTACTACTACTGCGGGTCCAAGGACTCCTGAAATGTTTGCAATTTTCAGGTTCCAAGTGACCTGCGAGGGTTCCATGTATTTGACAATTGACGTGATCACCCTCTGGATGTTGTCGGTGCGTGTCCTTCTTCCAAATCGAGCCACTCGGGCCATCCAACTCGGCCCAGAATCCAACTGGTCACCAGGTCACCCCTCAGTGCCCACCAAGCCACAAAGACGACGGGTGTGCCCACCATCGCCCCTGATCTGTTTGGGTCCGAGAGTAAGACCACTTGGACGGGACCGAAAAACACATATCATTTCGATTCGTGCACATGGGAAGATTCGGAAGATCCTTGACATCTTAAACTGTTCTGCCAAGGAAAACAGCATGGTAAGGGATGTTCATGAGTTTAAAGCAGATGACCCCGCAGGATGGCAGAACTTTCAAGCGAGGGACTTCCTTCGTCTTCTTCTTTGCTCTTCTTCTTCTTCTTATTATTATTTTTCTTCTTCTTGCTCTTCTTCTTCTCCCACTTTCGGTGCTTGCATCTCGCCCTGAGGTGGTGCACGCACACCTCGGGGTGCCCTTCTCCGACTTGGCCACAGCCCTGGGCGTCCTGATCGCCTGCGTCATTGCGGTGACCATAGCCCAGCGACGCTCCGTGTGGCGCTAACACCGGTTTTCGGGAGGTGTTTTGCTACACCAGCGAGAGGGGTGACGATGATCACTAAGGTTCCAGGTTGTTCTGGTGGAAGCAGGGGGAACCCATCTGTTCTCCACAAGCTCCATGGAGGCGAAAGGTCGGTAGGGCCGTTAGATGAAGTCCCTCTGAGCTAGTTTAAAGACCATCCAGAAAAAGGGGAGTTCTCTTACTGGCATGACCAGATCGATAGCCGCAGCGCTGAAGGATGAAGATCACAGCGCGGTCTGAAGCTACAAAGCTGGAGGAAATGCAAGAACACATGAAAACCCTCCAAAGAAGGTGGCATGCAAAGAGACACACATTCTAGTTCTATGGGCGAACCCCCCACAGGTAGGCCGAGACATGTAACCAGTTTCTTCATGTTTTTGCAGATATGTCTGGCCCCATGAGCGGTGCAAACACTCTTGGCTGCATCGTTTTCCCTTTTGCGGGTCCACGGGGTGTGACGCTCTCAGTCTGGCGATGGCCGACCCGTTGGGGCCAGTCTCCAGGATCCGAGATCGACCGAGCAAAAGCTGGGTGAAACGCCAACATCCAACAGGTGGGAAAAGGATTATGGTTAATTTATATATTGTATATATATATATATCTGGACCATCCAAGGGGTGCCCTGTTTGGAAGCCTATAGGTAGTGTGGGGTAGTCCATTGGACACCCCTTGGATGGTCCTGGTATATATATATATAATATTTCTATTTTTTCCAAGGACACGGAGGGAATCGCTTCGTTTTTGGGAGAAGTGAAGCATGCGAAACTCCTGTTCAGGACAGCTGGAAGAGGTGCGAAGCGTGCGAAGCAAGCAGGATGCCTTGCTTCATGGAAGCCGTTCAAGTCGTTTGCTTGCGCAATGGAAGCATACAGTGACGCCGATCCTTATCCTGTCTTGTCTCTTGCAGTTTCGATGGCCAACTGCCCTTCTTTATGCCGCTTGGGATCAAAGGGTCTCGGGGAGGTGCAGTGCTGCATTGGGCTATTTTGGAGAAGAACAGATTCGACCTCAGGTGCTTTTACATAGCCATCGCTATTAGCTTCGCTGGCCATTGCTATTAGGGTGGAGGCCATCGCTCTTAGGTGCTTATAGATACTGTATATATACCGGTATACCTCTGAATGTCGGATCCTGGGTGGACTAGTTTGGTGTAGAAGCTGGAGAGCAGCTTGTCGTCCCAGATCAGGTTGAACGCCCTCCAAGGTAGATAGGAAAATCAAGAGTCTTGGGGAGTGGATACCCTTTTTGTTGACTCATCGATCTAAGACCAAAAGTTGAGTTTTGCTGAGCAGTGTTCCTTTTTGTGTTTGGGTCGATTTTAAATCAAAGCTGTGAAGAACTCTTCCTCCCAATTCCGCTCCTTTTGAACTCAAATGTTTGGAATCTTGATTCACAACCTCCCCAGACATGGATTGACAAAACCTTTGAGCACTTGATTCAATAAGCAGTCGTGTGTGTTCAGTGGACATATGTGCATCATTATGCATCCCCTTATCGCATCCCCTTCTGTCAGGCCACTGCTGTGGTCTTGGTCCAGAAGCTCTTCCGGCTTGGTCTCTTAAAGCTCTGCTGGGCAGGTCAGCACCGTGCGACGTGCGACGCGCACGGGTTTTCGGTTCGTTGGGCGGAACGGGTGTCCGGTGGGATGATGTTCGTCTGAGAGATTCGGGGCACTCCAGCCAACCTCATGTCGTCTCGTCGCACCTACAAGTATGGAGCAGTTTGATCCGGATCCCTTACTCTTTTTGTCCGACGTGGTGTGTGCGCTGCGGTGAAGCGTCCAGGTTGCCCCCGAGCGGACCAGCCCATGCGCGTGCTGCTGTCGGGAGATTCGTTCCCACCGAAGTTGGATGGTGTCCAGAACTTTGCGCGAAACACCATCCAGGCCAGGCTGCATGTGTTTTGGGACGAAGGGTACTCAGTAAGTATAGTGTAGTATCTCTTGCTTTGGTCCACCCAACAAAGAGGTTTCCAATGATCTCTATGTGTTTTGGGATTGCTATCGACAGTGTTTTCGCCCAATGGTTCTTGAACTCTCGAAAAACGAACACCAACCTGCTGGAATTGTTTATTTTTTGTGCGGCGATGGTCCGGAGTGGATGTGTATGGCCATTTTGGAGTTGTATAACTTATGTTACATGATGGAAAGCCATGAGGGCCACTTCAAACGGCCTTGAACATTGAGCCAAAAGCCCTTGAGAGACAAACTGTTGGACAGGGCAATTTCTGCTTGTTAGATCTTGGGGACCGCCATATTAGCCGATCAGTTACGGATGATTTTGGAGTCAAAAAAAGAACATAGTTATAATATGCATATTATCATATAATAATTTAGTATGGGAAAGTAACTATTATAGAAGATATTAAAACATATCAAATAGAAGGCTGCATATTCCTCCCGTAGCCGGGTTCCGGGACAAATAGAAGACATATCTCAAGATAAGGGGTCCCACATCCAAGTCTTCAAATAGAAGAACACATTTTTGGCGCAAAATACACATGAGCCCGCTTCGTCTTGTTTCTCACTCACACTCTCTCTCTCTCTCTCTCTTTTTTTTTTCTCTCTCTCTCTCTCTCTCTCTCCCTGCGGGAGAAGAGAAACGCAAAATAGATACTCCCGCAATCATTTTCGTGGCTGCTCAAGTATTGTTCCGGCAGCTGCCTTCCCTTCCCTTCTGGCTCCTTCCCCTTCCCTTCTCCCTTCCCCTTTCTCCCTTTCCCTTTCTCCCTTTCCCCACACTTCCCTGCTCTTCTTTTACTCTTCTTTGCCTCTTCTATTTGAAGTGGCTCGGGGTTTGGCCTCTCTTGATTTTCGTCAACGTTGTGCCCGGGACTTTCTTTTCCACCTGGCACACTTCTATTTGAAACCCTCCCGGCGGCACATTTCCATACCCTTCAAAAAGAAGATTGGCACAAACAATTTCTTCTATAATGGATGTGCATACAATACATACATACATTCCATCATATTCCATACTTGGAGTGTCTGGTTCATAACCCCAGGCGTTGCAGAAAGGGATCCCATTCGTTTGAACATGCTCCGGGGTGGTGGCCACAGATCGGGGCAGCTCGCATCGGGGGTCGTGCGAGCACACCAGGTGGACCAGGATGGGCGCCCCATTTTGGAGCTTTCAGACTGCAATGCAAGGTCAACCAATTTGTTTACTCTCCCCGGAACTTGGAAGTGGATGGCACCACCTGTTTGTAGTGGATTTCATGGTCTTCTAAGGGGCCATTCTCCACTTCCATGTTAGTTTCAGGGAGTGTAATGGTGATTGAAGGCTAGGAATGTACTCTTGTCATCTCTTGTCTTAATACTACTACCTCCGCTGCAAAAAGGCTGGCTCGCAAGAGTCGCAAGACCCTGACATCACATCGAGAGTTCACAAAAAGTTCGCTCGCCCAGCACTCGCCCAGCACTCTGCAGCACTCTGCAGCCTTCCTCTGACTCAGGCCTTGGTTCGTGACGGACACCAGGTGCACGTCTTCTGCAGCAACGGCACGAGCACGACGCATTTGGCTCCCGAAAGCTTCGGCGCTACCGTGACGCGGGGGCCCGGGGTGGAAGTGCAGCCGAGGCTTGGCAGACGAAGTGGCTTTGCAGGATGCGAACTGAGCAACGACCTAAAGGGTTTGTGCGCAAATCTGGATGTGAGAGGAACCATTTCATTGAAATCATCCAACCTGCCAGCACCACGGATTTCGGGTGTAGCCTCTTAGAGTGCATTCACCACCCCGACTGGGGGTCCAGGTGTAAAGCGACAAAAAGCTTTTGGCCATTGCTCGATCGGATCCCACTGATCCCTGGAACATGTTCCAGCGGTTAGCTGCTAGGCCCGGCCCGGCCCAGCGGCTGAGTGCATGACAATGGCAGACCGGGTGACATGTTGAGGGGGGGGGCAGCTTCACGCCTTTTAGGCGGTGTTTCTTGAAAAAGCATGTGGGGCTCGCCGTTGCCCAGGAAGCACAAGATCACCTTGCAGCTTGGCGCGGTTATTTTTTCGGGGTCGGCCGGGAGGGATCGGGTGGGTGAACAAAGCAGCAAGTCACATCTCCATTCCGGGAGGCTAAAGGCCATCAACTGTATTTAGATTACCGCAGACATTTCAGGTGTGCCAGTATGGCCATACAAGTGGTGGCTTGGGGTGCTTTTCCATCTAATTCATTAGGGCCATCGATCGGCTCCATGCCACCCGATGCGGCACCTCCCAGGCCCTCGCCGCACTTCGTGCTCTCCTTGATGCGCTCCTCGGTCCTCGATGGGACCGGTGTTTGTTGGAGAACGCCAGGGAGTGAAAAGAGGGAGTCCAATGATATTGGATTTTATATGTTTTTTTTTTTTTTTTTTTAAATTAATTGTTATATAATCTGATATTTATGTGTACATTGATTGAAGTGTATTCTTAATTCATTATTCTTAATTCATTGTAATTTAGTTAATAGATGTTTAAGGAAGCTCCCTTGGCCCAACGGCTTTTGGTCAGTTTGGTCGTGCATTTTTCCTTCTGTTTAAGATAGGGGGTCGCCCTATTTCAAGACTGGCCTTATGCATTGAAATGCTGAGCCTCCTGAGTTACAAACTGTTCCCGGATTGCCCAGCTTCGGACAAGGCCATGTAAGACAGTTGGTAGAGGAAAATAGTCTTTGATGGGACCATTGTCAGGGTCTATGTTAGTTTTCGGGAGTGTATTAGAACCTGCCAACATGCAGAAAGAAGCTGGGCTCGGTTCCGGGTCTTTTTCCTTGAGATTCCATGCATGCCTGAAGTGCTTGCATCGAAGTGCGCAACGAACGTTTTGGGTGTCAACTATGTGAACCACCTGATCTGTTCGGGGGAAAAGCACCGAGATTTCGATTGAGCATTGCCTGGACATGAGCTCCCAAAACGTCGTTTTCGTCGAGGAAACGTTCTTTTTTTTCTGGTGAACGGAAACCGAATCACGCCTTGCGTGAGTGAGCTCGAGGCTTTCGCCCTCATGTGATCCAGTTCTTTGATTTTACACCGTGCGCCTTGGAGTCTGACCGACCTCCGAAGAGATCCACCGACCTTCCACAAGTAGTTCATCGCTAGACGGAAGCGGAATATAGACGAATCGAGTGGCTGTCACCATGACAGGCACGTGAGAGGAGAGGATGGACCAACCAACGTGAGGGGCTGTGAGGAAAAAAGCGAGGTCCAGTTCTTTTGGAAGAGAAACACTCTCACCACACCTTTGATCTCCAGCGAACTGCGACCCTCGACCCTCGGCTTTGGGGGGGTTTCTAAACTGATCATCCCTCCCGATTTCATAGCTTGGGACTGTGAGAGGCAATCTCAGGTTGCCAAGTTGGGCATGTCACGTCAACTGGCCGTGCTGTCGCATGCTGACCGGTTGTAAACAGGGAGCTTCACTGTGAGAAGCTGTGAAGGGAGCGTTTGGGCAGAAACAACTCCACCCTAAGGGTCCAAAGACCAGACCATCCGATTCGGATGGTCCACTGCGCCAGGGTCGCTTGGTTTTCACTAGCTTTCGCCAATACCATCGGTCACACCAGCCGGTCACACTGAGAAACCAGTCAGTGGCTTCTGGGAGAAAGGGATGAGGGGCCAGAATGGGCCAGAAGGTTCTTTGGTTTGAAGGTTTCAAGTGTTTCTGTGTGTCTAAATCAGCCACTTCTCCAATCTGTTTCATATATACCTTTTTTTCTGTAGGTCGACCAAGCTATCCGGGTCTTTACATGTTTTGCCTAACACATCCCCAAGAGAAGTTCATCTCCCTCCGTTTGTAAACCTCTTCCTTATCACTCAGCGCTCTTCGGTAGGGCTCGTCCACACCCTTTTTCGCGCGCTGTTGAATGGCAGAGGAATCGGTGGTGAGTTCCATGTGGACCCTTCGACATGTGTCAAACATTTACCTCGACCCCAAGTGATGTACTAGTTGAAACCTTTTGAAACTATCAAGCACTGACAAATAAATGATCTTTTCCTACCAACAAAGAAGTGACGTCTTGTGGCTGGGTTTCAGGGGTCCATGGTGACCATGGCAGCCCAGCCTTTTTCGTGGCTCTGGCAGCCTTTTTTTGTGCGATTTAGGTGCCTTCTTTGTGGTGCCCTTCCTCTGGTGGCTGGGCATCCCGTTGATCATCTCTCACCATTCACGGATCGACTTGTACGCCACCTATGTCCCTGGCTTCATCGGTGTCTCGACTCGAAGAAGGGGGCTGCCACGGCTGATACACACACAGCCAGACATGGATTGCAAAACCACTTCGGATGGGGGTTTGAAAGATCATGTTAAGAGTCTACATGGCAGAAGTGGAGCCTAGCACAGTTGCGTAGCACAGTTTTGGGACCTCCTGAAACCGATGTGGCAGCCGATGTGGCAGCCGTCTCTGAGGTGACTACGCGCCACAAGTGATCCGAGCGGTTTGCGAGGTGATGTTCCCCTTGGTGACGGGGCATCTGTTGATCGACGGCTCTCAGCCGCTTGGGATGAAGACCAAGAGAAGACTAATTTTTTTGGGGGGCGGTGTTTTTGGAGCATCCTGAATCAGGTTCTACTCCATGTCTCCTGATACTCGTATCCACCAAGGTTGCCCTATAGGCTTTTTAACCACCAAGAATAGCCTGAAGCCCTCACAATCATTGTATTACAACGGATTTTACACTACACCAGGTCAGATCAACCAATTTTTTAGACATTGGAAGCAGCTCGCTTCGATTTTTTTGCACGTCGCTCTCTTGAACGAACCACGTCGCTCTCTTCGTCCACGGTCTCGTCACGCGCGTCGCGTGGCAACACGCGCGCGCGCGCCCGTGGTGACGCGGGTTCGGTAACGGCGGGACCGGTGAAGCGGACTGGGGTGTGAAGTGAGGGCTGAGAAACCTGTTTTCACTCGATCTTTCGCGGTCGCATCATCATCATCATCATCATCATCATCATCATCATCATCATCATCATCATCATCATCATCATCATCATCATCATCATCATCATCATCATCATCATCATCATCATCATCATC